CTACCCTGTGATCTAGCAATTCCATTCCTGAGCATTTATCCAAAAGATCACAAACCAGGATACAGTAAAGACACCAGCTCAACCATGTTCATTACTGCATTCTTCACCACAACCAAGATATAGAATCTGCACAGGTCCCCCTTAATGGGCAGAAAATATGGTCTATAAAAACAATGGAATTTTCCTCAGCTATTAGCAAGAATGATACTGCATCATTTGCAAAGAAATGGGAGGACCTGGAAAATAATACGTTAAGTAAAGTAAGTCAGGCCCAGAGACAAAGGTTGCATGTTCTCTCTCATAAATGAAAGCTAAAATTAGTTTATAACTATGTAAGTAAATACTTTGGGTGGTATGCAAGTATACACAAATGTATTGACTAAAATATGGTAGATTTAGGGGAGAAGTCAAGCGGTGGAATTCCTTAGAAAGACTAAATCAAAGGTCAACAAAATAATCACCAGGAAATGGAAGTGGATTAAAGGGAGGGGAATGGACTAATGAAGTGGAAAAGTGGGGGAGAAGGGAGTGAAAAAAATGCAGTACATATCCCAAAAAGCTAAGAAAGGTGAGGGTTGAGGTGGGTTTGGGAGGAATTGGTGAGAATCTTGAAAGGGGTGACATTGATGACGCAGCAGATTATCTTCCTAAATTGCTTTGCTGAATGGCAACTCTTTTGTACAACTGCTTGACAAAAATATTTTCATAATGGGTAAATATTCTTTATTAGTTTCTATTACTTTTTTAATGATACAAAATTGAGTCTGGGTAGCCCAGGTTTTTTCCCTGCTACCAGTTAATTCATGGGCCCAAGTAAAGAGTCAATTCTTCCCAGAAAAACCAAGTTTTAAGCATCTGTTAATGGGAATATAAATAACAATAAGGCCATCCCTTCATTAGCATGCTCTTTTACTTCTGTAAAGTAACAATATCTGTGATATTTGATTATCTCCAAAACAACTTTAGAAACAATCTGTAGGTCTCCAATTTATAGATGAAGAAGTTGATGACTAGGATGTTTGAAAGTACTTCCAAAATTCACATGCATACAACTGACAACTGTTTCTATGACAAGTCATAGAAACAAAGCCTAATCCTTTTTTAGAGATTGAATCCCCTCTATCGGGTCTATAAGTTGTGGTGCTATCTTCGGGAGAATATGGAAACAGGTCATGTTCTTTGTGAAATGCTGCCATTTTCTTATGGGAAATCCTGGCATGATTAGAGTACATTTGCATAGAGAAGAGAGTCTTGAGCTCATTCTCTTGCTCTCATTCATTCCCAGACTGTAATCATGTAGTATATTGTCAAAAGTTATTGGTTTAACACATGCATGTTATGAAGATGTTCTTGGAGAAAAGGCCTCTGAGAACCCCAAGCATCTTCAAAATTAAAATATAGAAAAATATGTATATCATTTATAAAATTAGAGCTTCCTGAAGCTTTAATTCCCTGTACTAATGTGGTTCTCATGATAAAATACAGTGACATGTTTAAAGTTATTTTTTTGCTTTGAAGAGAAGCATTTTTGTGTAACTCTCTTAATGTGGCTCAGCCAGTTATGCATATTCTCTATGACAGAAGATGAGTTCTTTCCTCTCCTTCAAGAACTTTACCTCCAATTATTTTCAGTTTAAATTTCTATGTGCATTTTAGGGCTTTTTCCCCTTAACTTTGTAAGCTGTGTTTGGCTCTGAGATAAGCACATAGCAATATGTTCTCAGAAATCTCCACTATCTTGTGACATTTGTCTTAACTGAACATCAATGATTAGTTATAGTTTTCCATATCAACTGTTATAGTTTTATCAATTCTAATGAAAGGAGGAGAAATGGCCATAAATAGGCCAAATGGCAAGGGAAAATCCAACTTTGAGTTAAGAACTTACTGTTGGAAGTGGCATTGTGGCTCGATTGGTAGAGTAAGACTCAGGGACAGTGCGCAGGCCCTGAGTTTAAGCCCATGACTGTTCATAAAGAAAAAAAAAGAATTTACTATTATGAGTGATCAACAGTACTAAGAGTTACTTAACATTTGACAAATGTCAGATCACTATTTTAAGGGCTTTACAGTTATTGTTATGTACAGCCAGCCTGAGAAATTCTTTTTATCCCCTTTCTAGATGAGGAAATTCAGGCAAAGCATGGTGGGATATTTTCCCAAAGCTCTTACAGTAATTGAAAGAGCTAGGTTCTAAATCCTGACTGTCTAGTGTTAGCTTGCACACTTTTAATTTCAACTCTTTCATACAATGCATGGTGAGATCAACCTAAAACGCTTTGGGGCTTAGGAAGAAGAAAACCAAAATCTAGATTTCAGGGTAAATAAAATTCAAAATTGACGCTGTGACTGAGAAAAGACAGAGACAAATGCCAGTCAGAAATACAATGCATCAAATAGGTAGCAATAAATTGAATTGGTATTGTAACACATTAATGTGTACCGTCTGTCAAAACAGAAGTTTGCAAAATGCAAAGTAAAAAGGCTTCAGGTTAATGCAGAGCCCTAAGATTTGAGTTCTAATCTCAGCTTTGCCTCTAACAAATGGTGGTTCAGGTAACAGGATTAAAGTCTTTTGTACTGTGCTAGCTGCCCAGGGCTCCCCAAAAGTTGTTCCAGCCCCAGTCCCTACATAAGACGGATTGCTTGGATTGGATGATTCCCAAGTTTTCTCTTCCTGCATGATATTTCTGTGATGTTGCCAGTGTCTCAACACGTCAGATATTTGTTTTGTTCTCTTTGCTAGCACATGGGTCAGAGCTGAGGCGCTCAGAGGCAGAAGGTATGAGCCACACCTTCTGGGAGGGCCGTCAGGTCTTCACTGGGGAGTGAATCTCCTAGAGAAAGGATTCCATAACCACTAAGGCTGACACCTGGAGACAGCTCACTTTAACACCACAAATGACTCATGATAATTGGACTCTGGTACAATGTTGAAGTTGCCAGGATGTTTCTAGACCAGCTTTAAAAATGTGGAGGACATAAAAGGATGAGGAATTTGGAGGAAAATGTTTACTTCTAAAAAAAAAAAAAAAGTTTGTTTTAGCCAAGAGTCTTGGTTGTGTCTGGTATCCATTTCCTTCGTGTCCTCTATTAGCAGAACCCTCCCTTTGAGTTGGTCTTATCAGTGGTACTCCTTGGCCTCATTGGGACCGTATGACTAATTTCTGGAAAGTGGGCGTGCAGCTTCTGGAAAGTGGGCGTGCAGCTTCTGAAAAGTATCCTTAAATGGGAGGATCAGATCCTTCAGTCTTTTTCCTTTGTGATGCCTGGATTATAGAGATAATGGCTGGAGCTTAAGCAATCTCTTTGAAGGATGAAATGGAAGCCCTATGCCAAGGCTGTGGCCCAATGTGAGATGAAGTCCAAGCCTCTTAGGCCCATGCAATGACATCTCTTAATACTCACCAGCCCCCTCCAGCCTGCTAATATGTGTGTAGCAAGAGTTCTGTATATTGTTTTTCTGCAACTTTACTGTCATTTAAGAATGTCTTCCAAGCACACAACTGAATCTAATCCTAAATGTCCCTGGTAAATGTCCCTAGTGTAGCAATAATTTGAGGTTTCTTATTCCATTTTTTTTCTAAGTGTGCCATTCCTGGGGCTTGAACTCAGGACCTGGTTGCTCTCCTTGAGCTTCCTTTTGCTCAAGTCTAGCACTCTGCCACTTGAACCACAACTTTTTTTCCAGCCTTTTTTTTTTTTAAGGTAGCATCATTTATTGGTAATAAGAGTCTCATGAACTTTTCTGCCCTGGCTGGCTTCAAACCACTGTCCTCAAATCTCAGTGCTGGCTTACCTCTTGTTCCATTTTTAAGATAGCTCATGACTTCCATTGGGAACAGATGTGGAGAAAGAAACAGACACAATTGTACATAAGCACCTCACTTACATATTGCTACAGAAATTTATTTGAGTTTAAGAACAAATGATGGACTTGCAAAAAAGTTTTGTAAGATGTTTTAAATAGAGAACTCTTTAAAATTATGAAAAAATCTATTTTTGTGTATGTTTTTATTGTAAAAATACTGCACAGAGGGGTTATAGTAACATGAGCAAGATCATGAGTACATTTCCTATCAAGCATTGTTACCCCCTTTGTTTTTCCCCTACCCTCCCTTCCCTATCACCTCCACAACTACACTTCTTCCCTCCCCCCCTTCCTTCTCCACCTAAATTGTAAAGTTCATTTTTCAACACAGTGTCTTGTACATCTCATTGTTACAATGGGTCAACCTATATCCCTATTTAAGCATTTTGTTTTCCCTTCCCCTCCCCAAGCTAGAGAAGTGTATATACAAGATGCAGGGCACTGACATCAAATACAGCAAAACAGGGGTTCTGTAAATCTATTAATGTCATTAAAGTGAATAAACATTTTAAGGAGTAGAATGTATGTATGGCGTGCGTAGTTGCTGAATTAATCCTCCAAACAGAACAATCACTTGCCTGTTGAATATGTACAGATCGCTTAATATTTTCATAAAGCTTTGGGAGATGTTCATCATGTACTTTAATGTGTGCAGATATTTTATAAGGAGAGGTTTTATATCTTAGAGGACACAAGCAGTGATATCGTTAGCTTTATTTTGCCCTTGTACAACCAGCATTCCAAGATGTATCCGTATGTGCAAGTTCTTTTTTGGTAACACTGGTTTGCCAGTTTCTAGTATTCGTAAGAAGCAAGCTGCTGGTCCTCTAGTGGCCCTTACCAGAGTCTTCCTCTATCCGCCCATTTTCATTGTTCCCTGCACTTGGCAAAAATCTTGGAAACAAGGGGCCATCATTTCAAGGATGTCTCAGTTGACGCCGCTGACCTATTTTTCTCAGAGATCACACAGTGGGCTCAAGGATTGAATGAGAGGAGCAAGAACTACCTCCCCTACCCTTGTGTCACAGTCTTTCAAACCCCCTGGCACAGCAAAAAGATGTTGGAAGAACTTGAGCCTGTCTTCTTTAGGGTCAGGGTAGCCATCTGCCTTGTGGAGGATTCTGAGTGCCTAAAAATAGTCATCATCAATTTCAATTTCGGCCTCGTGTTCTGTAGTTAGGGTGCTAGTTGTAGTTGGAGTCGATGTTGCTGCATTGGTGGACGAGCTTTGGTTGTCCCCGGGGGTGGGTGTTGATGAGCTCTCCTCAGGTGTGGGTGGGCTCTCAGGTGCAGGTGAGCTCTCAGGTGCAGGTGATGTGGTTGGTGGGGCAGGAGGAGGGGTAGAAGCAATGCAGTCAGTGGCCGGGCTGGACTTTCCATCTATGTGAACGATGACAGTGGTGTTGCTGGTGGGTTTACCGAAATAGCCAAAATAAAAGACCAGGGCTGTAATGGCTGTGGCAACGAGACAAGCCAGCAGACACACCAGAAATGTCTTCCACAGTGAACACGGATTTGCTGCAACCTGCAAAGGTTTATGAAAAGTGACTGTTCCAGCAGATTACATGGGAGTGACGGTTAACAGATTTGAATTAGAAGACTAATATGTTTCATTATTTCAAATGCCACAATAAATATACAAATGTCTCCTTTCTCCTCTCTTTTGCTCTCTCTTTCTCTCTTTTACACACATACAATGCACAGACGTATGAGGAAAAAATACCCCAATATTTCTCCCTTTGTACTAAAGCAATAAGGCTTTGTCTTTAAAGTATTGCCTTAGGACTATATTATATTATTATCAGCTACTAACATCTCAGTATAAATTGAATTATCTAATTAGTTCTAATGAGTAGAAAAATAATAGAAGGACATATTAAGGCATTTAGATTGGTTATCTTCAGGTCGTAGAAAATGGCAGAGATTTACTATTTCATTCTTTTTTTCTTAATGTAATTTCACAGTACACATTGAGATTTAATCACTTAAAATTATTCATTAAATAATTTTTACCTGTCAAACACAAACAAAAAGAATTTCATTGGCTATTTGATACATAAATAATAAGACAAAATGGGAAGAAAAAATAGGAAAATAAATAAAATAGAAAATCAGTGTTTCTGTGGAGCAGGATCATAGAGAGATGGAAGGGAGCACTATACTGTTGGGGACCTTAGGCCCCTGATATCTGCAGGAGCTGGGGCTCTCAGGAGACCTGCAGAAATGCTAATGGAGAAGGCCTGCCCGGCTGTTTTCTCCTTAATACAGAGAATGACTGGCACTGTCCATCTCATTCCCAAAGCTTACCATCTGTGGCTGGAAAATCACATTGTGGGATCTACAACCACAGTGAGTTCCTTCATTTGAACAGCAGCATGACTTCATGGACATCTGTACAGAAAGAAGCACAGAAAGAAATGAACAGACAAATTCCTATTTTTAAGATTGAGGAACGTTAAGCTGGGTGTGGTGGCACACATCTGTAATCCCAGCACTAGGAGAAGTTCTGAGGCAAGACTGGCTATATAACAAGACCTTGTGTAAAAAAAATTCTTAAAAAAAGTAAAACAAAAAAACATTAAATTTTTCTTTTCAAAATGAAAGTTTAATCTCTCCTACAATGTAAGAATACGAGTATAGGGGCTGGGAAGGTGGCTCAGTGGTAGAGTGCTTGCCTTGCATGCCTGAGGCCCTGAGTTCGATTCCTCAGCACCACATAAGCAAAAAAAGAAATGTACTCTTTACCTGACTTATGAGACTGTAACCCCTCTGTAGATCACCTTTATAATAACAATAAAAAAATTTAAAAAAAAGAATACGAGTATAAAATATGATCCCATCAAGAGTTAAATGCAGAAATAACTAAATCAAAAGAGAATCTGAAACTACACACAAATATAATATACAAATAAAAATATACAAATACAAGTTCGAAGTCAAATGATCAGAGAAGGAATATAAAGTGATCATCTCAATACATGCTCTGGTAACATTTCACAAATCTCAGCATGTAGTCCTGACAAAAGGAAATAAAAGAAACAAGTCTCAATACACTTCAAATAAAAAGAAAGAATAGTCCCTATGCATGCTAAGGAATACTTGCATCAGAAGAATGGCCAGTATCATATCTACCAGGGAAGTAACTGGGTCATTCCACTTCAGTAAAGAAAAGTAGAGATTGTCTCCTACCTCTACTGAGAGATGTTTTCCTGGAAGTACTAGACCGAGTACATCAATCAGAAAAACATACAGACAAAATCATTATTTGCAGATGATGTGATTTTTCTACTAACAGAATCCCAAATAACCAACAAATAACCTATCAAAAGCAATAAGAGGTCATTAATTTAGCCAGTCATCGAACTGAGATAGAAACTCATAAAAGCAATTGTGTTATGGATTATGTGTGTGTTGCTTATTCACAATAGTGATAAAATATATAAAACAGCAAAGCATACAAAATGCCATAGAATTCATGTTGAGATAACCATAAAACTTTATCAAGTAATAAAAAGGTAACGTGAATAAATCTCCTATAATGAAAACTTCCAGTAGTCTAGCCTGTCAGTTTTCTGAATTTAAATTAGTATTTTTGTATGATTTCTGGAGGAAATGTTAAGAAATGTGACAAGAATTTTGTGTGTCAAAAAAGCCCACCAAAAGGATGGAAATGGATTACATGAGGGAAAGCAGTATCAGTTGTGATTCTCTCTGGACAGGGTGATGAGTGATTTGTTCCTTTTCTTCTCTGAAATTTTCCGTGTTCTCCAAACTCTCTAAAATAAGCATATAATACTCACATAAGAACTGTCTCAAAAAAAGCATGTTGAGCCTCTAATTTTGATGCTCTAAGTTTCCAGTTGCCTATCCAAATATTGAAAAGTGGAAAGTTCTAATCATTCCTTCATTTTGTTTACAATCTCAGAACTTTCTCTTGCTGTCTGTTTATTTAGCACTTGGCACACATAGTAGCACACGGGTTTTCATTATTGTAAGGAGCATCATAAGCCATATTCAGGGTATTATTGTGAAAAAGTAATGTAATGTTGAAGTAATGCATTTTCTAATTTTCTTTGGAGTATGGGGTAAAAGTTGAGTTTATTGTCCTCTACTTGTTGAAACCCAAACAGATCACAAATATGAAGTTCAAGAAGTTATAAAACAATTTTGATATCAAATCATATCTTGTTTTTTTATTTTCTCTACAACCTTAAAATTAGTCATAGAATTAATTTTCCTTTGGTAGGAACATAGTAGTCAAATGTTTTGAAAAGCAATTTCTTATAAAGAAAGGAATATATACATAAGAAACCTGAATTTGGTTTCAGACTGATACCAGCTCATTTTATAAATATAGAGACATTCAATGAATGATGAATGAGATCTTTATGGCCTTGTTCACCTGATTCTAAAAATGGGTGATCTGCACACCGGTAGAGTAGTATATCTTAAACACAGAAACCCAGGAAATATTCTCTACCATTATTACTTCAAATATAAGCAATTAGATGGTTGTATTTTATTGGGAAAAATATATAGAAAAAATAACAAATCATTAATACTTGCTAGGTGCATGACGTTTCAAATTCACCCAAGTGTTGTATACCTTATTGTACTATAGGCTTTTGATTTACATATCAAAATTTGGACAGCGTCTAGTGCTAGCGATGTGAAAACCTGTCTTGAATACTTCTCGATTGCCTCAATACTACAATACTGATACTGTTCATCCTGCGGAACACACACACACTCACACACAATTTTCTTAAAGGATGATTGAATGTTGACAGCAAAAGTAGTAGACACGAGAGCTCTTATACCTTATGTGCAATACTCACCAAGTCAGCGTCACTTTGTTGAAGATTCATGGTATGGTGCTGCTGCTGCTTTTCAATCATTTTGAGGGTGCTGAATCTCAAATGCGACTCCAAAAAAAATGCCTGTACTGTCTTTGTGAGAAATAAGGAAATATCAGATTTATACTAAGTCAATCAGTGTGCACTTACTTACAATTAGTAAGTCATCTTCCAGAGAAAACTTCAACCTGAGATTGCACCATTTATGTTAGGTGGAGAAAAAATAAATAAGAATGCCTGGTGCCTTTCAAATGATCTCACTTGTATGCAGGATGCTACACACCTGGGAAGATATAAGCCAGCTCTTCCCTTCCTTCTTTCTTGCATCTTGCTTGAAATTACTGAAATTTGATTTCTCACAGGTTAGGAATTTAGTTTCTGCTTCCGAAGAAGCCTGTAAGCCACTCCTTGATTATGAATACTGCAGATGTCTATGGCTAAGCAAACAGAAGGATTACAGTGTTGACTAATTTCAAAATTTGTCCAAAGATAAGACAATACTAAGATTAAGAGAAATTTAGGTGATTAGTGAGTAAAATTTACTAACCAAAGTCAGTGGCTGTATTGGATCACAAGGAAAATGAAGTATTAAAATGGTTTTAACTAAAGCAATAATAGGAGATGAAGTTTATTAGTTCATAAATGAATGAAAGAATATCCAAAGTAAATCTTGTCTGCTTCTTAGGATATTATGTCTTGCTGTAGGCTATATTTCATTGTCATTGTTTTTGATGAATCATGATCTGTTAAATCACAAATAACTAAAAATAAAATAATAGTCTGGAGTACTTTTTCACTTCTCATAGAAAAAGTTTACATGATACAATATGTAAAACTGCAGTGATGTTTAATATTAATCGGAGAGTTGATGTCTCTGACAGAGTGACATTGTAGTAGAGAATAAAGAAAACATGACCTTAAAGAACCTTCTTCATTCATTTTTGTAGGTCACCCACTTTTTAGGAGCTACTGATGTGTACCTCCAAATTATCAGTAGATCTGCCTTCACCACAATGCAGAAACCAATATGTCTTCTTGGAAATATGAACCTCCTAGACACTGTAGTATATTGAATTGAAGTATAAACTTCAATTCTCTGACCTCTTACCTATAAGTAAAATGGCTGGATTATATACTAATTCTGTTTTTAGTTTCTTGAAGAACCTCCATACTGTTTTTCAAAATATCTATATTAATTTACATCACCCTTTTCTCCACATCCTTATCAATCCTTATTATGTTTCTTTTTTATAATAGTTATTCCAATGGGCATGAGGTGATATCTCACTACAATTTCAGTCTTTCCCTGAGGATAAGTGATGCTGAATTTTTTTCCATAGACCTGTGGGCTATTTGTATCTTTTGATCCTTTGCTATTTTTAAAATAGGAATATTTCTTTTCCTACTATTGACTTGTCTGTATTGTTCTTCTATTTTTAATATTAGCTCCTTATCATATCTGTAATTTGCAAATATTTTTTCCAAGGGTGTAGGATTTTTTTCTTACTCTGTTAACTGTTTTCCTTGTTGTACAGAAGTTTCGTTTTTTTTTGTTGTTGTTGTTTTGTTTTGTGTTATCCAATTTGTCTATTTTTGTTCTTGTAGTGTGTGTTTTAGGGTCATATCAAAAGTCGTGGAGCTTCTCTATGTTTTCTTTTAGTAGGTTTATAGTTTTAGGTCTTCTACTTAAGCCTTGAATCCATTTTGTGGTAAACCACGTATACTGCTTGTGCTAAAGCTGAATTTTCATGGTTCTTTGTGTCAATACTCAGTTTTCTCAAAGTTTTCTTCTTTATTCAAGAGAGCTCTTTTTCCATCCTGGGTGCACCGCACCTTTGTCAGAAATCAATTGTCCATGGTTTGTGGGTTTTAACTGGCTTTCTTGCTGTCCCATTGATCATCATATCGCTTTTTATGCCAGTATCACACTGATCTGGTTACTATAACTTTGAATCAATTTTGAAATTAGGAACTATGGTCCTTTGTGCTGTTTACCTTCAAATTATTTTAGGTAATTGGAGCCTTTTGTGGTGGTTTCACACGAATTTTTTTATTTGTTTCTATTTCCATGAAGAATGGCATTGGAATTTTGATAGGGATTTTGTTTCCTTAGATCACATTGAGTAACACTGACTTTTCACGACATTTTTTTTTTCCAACCCACAAACATGAGATACCTTTCCACATATGTGTGTTGATGTCCATTTGCCTCTTGATTAGACTGGAAGTTCCATGTTAAAGGCTTGATGGCATAAATAAAAAATGCAATAAACTAGTGAATATGCCTGTGGCCTAGCAAAAGTATGCTAGGTAAGACTGGCACCTGGGGTCAATTGTTTTCTCCTTTCTCAACCTCAGCCTCCGTGGATTCTAATCCTGGCACTGTAATTGCTCATCTCGTGAGAGATGTTGAGATTATTGAACTTCCTTTGTTCCCAGGAGGGAACAAACTTGGCACTGGTAGTCATACTCCTTAGACCAGCCACTGTTTAACCTTGAACTTCTGTCTGTCTTTCTCCTTGTTTCTCTGCTGATTCATCAGACAAACCATGTCTGAATCAAAATTAAATTCATGACAAGCATGAAAGTTTATCTCAATCCTCAAACTTAAATCGGAACATTAAACTTTATGGTCTTTCCTAAGCGCTCATGCCATAAGCCATTTTGTTCTGTCCTTAAATTTCAACTTCCACTTTGATATCAGAAATTGAAGCATTACTCCCTAGAGAAAAGGCAAGTGCTTGGAGATATTTCTTTGTTGAAACGACTGATTGCCAATTGAAATCAGCTATGAGCCATGTGGCATTAAAGTATAGCAACTAGATATATCTAGATTTCTCATGACATTGCTTGAGCTTCATTTGCTTTAACCACAAAGGAAATAAATGTGTCATTGATCAAGATACTTATCAACTATTGTGTTAAATGGCAAGTCCTTTGTACAACTACTTAAAGATTATAAAATATTTTTAAAGAAGTACTGATGACATTCTGTTTCTGAATCATTTTTAAAATGTCTCAGAAAAGTTCATGTATAAACCACAATTATAGAACTAGGTGTAAATCTCTGAAATGCCAACATTTCAAAGAATTCATAATGGTATAACAAAATGAAACCTGTAGCTCATAGAGCATTGATTTTGAGACCATTTGAGACTTCTTGACCAGAGAGAGCCCAAGGGGGAGAAATCAACTTTGATTCTGTTCACTTGCTATATTAACTTGATAATGCCATCGATATTTCATAATTTCTCCGTTAGGGCACACAGAAGAATAGAATTTTTGAGAAAAAAACAGTTTTGGAAAAAGTGAGAAAAATATTGATAAACATAATAATAGAAGTAAAACACTTTTAATAAATGAAGCTTTATTATACACCTATGTACCAAAGTATTGAGTCTGGAATGAAATAGAATGCCCACACTCACTAATATTTTATACGTATAACATACAATACAGTAACACATAGATAGTCCCTGGCTTAAAGTAAGTCAGCTCATGAGGTTTCAACTTGAGGATGATGCAAAAGTAGAGCACTTGTCCTAGGCAAGCGTAGATGCTGGCCAGGGGCAGTGAGAGGCAGCTTCAGCAGCACGTGACCACGAGCATGCATGGATGACCCATACAATGTCCTGAGCATGTTTATAGCAAGCTAGTCTAAGCTATGGTAGCTTAGACATTGAATGCATTTTGATCGACATTGTTTTCAATGTATAATGGATTTAGCAAGACATAAACCCACTGCAGATCTAGGAGCATCTATATGTAAGTCATTGCTTGTGAAAACATTTGGTTGTTCAATGAAGAACACTACTGTAAGGCGCTCTGGTGAGCACGTGATCTACTGTAAAAATATTATGTTCAATATAACAGATGGGGAAACCATCTCCAAGGATTTAAACAATCTTCAGATTCTAAAACCAAACATGACTGGACAGCACAAATTCTCTGTCTGCTCCAAACCAAAAAACCTATGTGAAACCAGAAAATACATTCATTTCCAATGGGCTTCTAACCAACAAATCACCTGGAACAGATATTGATATAAATAATATATAAAATAGCTAAGCTTTCTGGGATTTCTTTTGTACATGTGTTAAAGCAATTTTCTGAAGCCACTATTTAAAAAGTCAAAGGAAACCCATGCATTCATTCATGAAAACAGATTCATTGTGTCATTTTAAATCTTTATAAACTTTAATTTCTTATTTAATGCCCACAATGTACTGTCCTACTTCTTTTATAACTTTGTCATTCATTTGTGAGGAATCTGATTCCATATACCTTTTTTTTCTATTAGAAAGCACAATTGCCTGTTTTATAGGTACTTCAAAAAAAGTACAGAAAATGATCATCTAGCTACTATTGAAGTGTTATGTATTCATTTCATACTTTTAAATAAGACCTAAGGATGTTTATCTTCTTTGTTTTTGTGTGTTATGATTATATAGTAGTGTCTTATATAAAATTAGAATAGTTTGCTGGGAGACAGTGGCTCCTACCTGCAATCCTAGCTACTCAGAAGGCAGAGATCCAGAGAGTTGTAGTTTAGAATTAGCCTTCATAGAAAAAGCCATAAGACTCCATCTCTAACACAGCAAAAAGCAAGTCTGGAGGTGTGGTGATGTAGCACCATAAGTTCAAACCCAATCTTTGCAAATAAATATAAACTAGCATAGTTTATTTACCTCCACTATCACATTTAAGCGTGCAGATTATCTAAACATAGAGTTAATTAGATTAAAAGCTGTTGATAAATGTGGTCAAATTGAAGACGATTACATCAGGTAACACTGTCATTAACAAGATAATACTACTGTTGTACCCATTACATTTTCCCTGATTGACCATTTTGTTAATCTTTGCTAATCATGTCCCAGAAAACAATATGTGTGTATTCATTTCCTTTGTAAGTCTTCAAATAAACATACTTAACAATCCTGTTTACATTACCTGATATTCTCATTTATGGAGTATTCACATACTTATTCATATCTATATTTCAATTTATTCCTGTTTGTATTTATTATTATTCATATTTT